TGCTCTCTTTTGTCAATCCATCTTTAGTGTGCCTGAAGCTGGGGGTTTTGAAAGGCACCTTAAAATCATGACACCCCCTTATTCCCATCCTGTCTTCTTTCCTCTTACAGCATGTCGGTCCCTGGGTGCCCAGGCTCAGTTTTTGCCCCTGGGATGAGCTGCGTCCTTCCCACCTCCTCCAACAGCCCATTCCCTTGAAATATACCATTTGCAAATCCCCTTTTGCATCGTCATTGTGCCCCAGCAGCAGCTCTCGCTGTGGCCAGGTCCTGTTCCAGGGTGTTATTTCTAACACTGAACAAATCAAATACATGGAGAGAAGTGTTCCCCTTGTCTCGAAAACGCACATGGAATGGGAAGCGAGGCCGGGAGCAGGAGCATAGGAATCCCGTTGTATGCAGGGAAAACCCAATTAGTGTGTGCACCCTGACAAAAGTAGAACTGAGCCTTTTAGCAAGGAGTAGTTAATCTTCTTTAGAGAAACTAAGCAGGGACTACCAGTGGAACAGAAGTTGGTGCGGGACTGTTGAATATCTCTAAAGCCACTTAGAGGTTCAAAGAAGGAACAAGGCCATTGCCAGCCTGATTATTTTGATTTGTTTAATGAAAATACTCTGCTCATTCCATAGATGTTATGCTTTGATAAGGTAATTGTTCAAGGGTGCAGCTTACATCCTAGTAATGCTGCACCCTGGGCAAATTAAACCTGACCCAGTGCAGAGGCAGATCCAAGGAGCCCGGTGGTGTTGTGACACTCAGCCTTTTGTTCAGCACCCTGATGGGGAGCGGGACTGGGGGAGTTTTAGTCTTGGATTTGGGTCTTGCCTTCCCTGGATAAAAGAGACCTGAATTCCTGTTGCGTGCACGAATGAAGAGCAGGGTTAACCCAGATCCGTGCGGAGCTGTAGGGTCAGCGTTGATGGTGCAGGAGCACCCTGCATTGGGGCAGAAGTGCGAACTTTTCCTTTGGAAATAGTCCTGGGAGTGGAAACTGCTTCGTTCCTGCTCCAGGGCTTCAGAAAGGGACTTCTTTCCTCCTTCAGCAGTGAAGTTAAGAGCACCTCTGGCAAATAAGCAGAGCCTTGCTCCCCCAACGAAGAGGAGGAAGGAGGAGAATTGCAGACGAGCACCCAACCTGAGGGCCGTGCTAGGAGCTGGGGAGCCAGGCAAAGACCTTAAATCTCCCTTCCCTGTCTTTGCTTCTTCGAGCCCACCTGCAACCAACAGCAGCTCTTGGCGATGAACGTGGTTCATTTTTACCCCAGGACACATCTGGGGTCTTCTGGGACCCGGAACATGGGAGGGCTCGTCTGCAGCAGCGGGCCGGGGATGCTGCGAGAGGCTTGAGTGGGATCAGGCACCAACTGTCTGCACCCACATCCCATCTGCTTCGTGTCTGGGCTTTAATGGGAAGGAGGAAAATTCATTCCTTTGGATTTGGCTTCCCCGGTCCTGGAGCCACCTTTTTAACCAAGCAGCCCGTTTTTCCTGAGCCTGCAAATATTCCTTTGCTCCCTTGTGGGTTTCCTGAAAAGAACCCCCAAACACTTGAGGCTCAATGTGGTGCTTTTCTTTTCACGATCTGTTCAATGGTCACCTAAAAAGAAAATAAATGCAGAATTCCCTCCTAAATATTATCCTAAACAGATATTTTTTTAAATCCACGGTTTTCAAGGTGGATTTATCGCCCTTTAAAGAGAGATTTATTGGATAATCGCTTAAAAAAATAATGCTTATTACTCCGGGATCTCAAATGGAAAACCTTCCCACATTAGTAATCTGCTTGTAATTGCAGAAAGTAGCAACTTTTCATTAAATCATTCATCCCCGGGCGGTTTTCCTTTTGCATCCTACTTGTGGAGGGGAGGAGAGGAAAATCGGGATCAAAACCTGCAGGTTTTAGTCGCCCAGATGAGACGCGTTTGACTTCTAAGGAGATTTCATATTCCTGGATCCGCACGGCTCTGGAAATGGGATGGCATCCCGAAAAAAAAGAAGAGTGTGACTTTCTCTTGAGGAGAATGAGGAGGACCAGTAATGGGTGGTTGGGGCTGCTCGCCGCCGGCACAGCGCTGATGCTCCGGCGATTTTAGGGACAGGTTTAGCCAACCTGTGTGTATCTTTCTCAAGTCGAAAATTGCCCATAGAGCCCCCTTTTCCCCCCCCACACCGGGTACTGTCAGCCCCCTCCGAGGAGGTATCCGACGTGAGGAGCCACTTCCTCCTGCAGAGGATGCAGGGGATGGATGCTGGGGAGAGATGCTCCTAAAACATCAAGCCAAGTCCATTCCCTTCTGCTTATGAGTTGGCTTTCAGCGGCTGCTTCACAAGCCGTTTCTCCAAAGGGAATAGCGATGTACGGCATTTATCAACCAGAAACATACCTTAGGAAACCATGGAGATGGGCAGGGAAAGGGGGAAAGCGGGGAGGAATTCTGCCCCTGTTCCTTTAAGCAGTTACTTGCTCCTTTCCTGATTGATGCTTGTTTTAATCTATTGCTCGCTGCTCCCAGGAGAGAAAAGAAGGGGTCTCTCTTTTGTGAACATGGGTAATGAAGCAGAGCACGGGGGGAAAGGGGGGAAAAAGAGGGGGAATGTTAAAGATAGGCTAAAAGAGGGGTTCCCTGTTTCTCTGCTGGCTGCTTGGGTGCGCAGGTACCACCCGGCCCCCCGATCCGCATGTGAAATCGCCATTTCACCCCTGCACACTCCTTAATTGTTAGAAAAATGATTTGTGAAATTGCTTTCCAGCAGGAGGGTGAGTGTGTCCCCTCCGTCCCCCTCTGTGACAGCCCCGGTCACCCCGCGATGCCCCCCGAAGCCCCATTCGGGGCTGCTGCCACACGCCAGAGCATCCCTGGAATTCAAAGCAACACCAAAGAAATGACAAAAATCAAAGTAGCTCTTTGCGTGGTGGCTGGAGGAGAAAGTGAAGGGGTTTGCCTGAAAGTGTCAAATCTTACCCCAGTTTGGGGAGGGAAACAACTGCTCTGTTTGATGGGGGAAGGCAGGGACCGGCCCCGGCTTCTGCGGTTTAATCTTTCCCCGGTGCTGGGAGAGCAGAAACGTTGAATTCCCAACTTTATTCCCAGGCTTTTTCCCCCCGTTTCATCCGAGCAAATAATTGAATTACGGCGGCGCTGGAGGAAGGCGCCGGCCGAGGGGCTCCGCTACGGTCCCGCGCGGCTCCACCCGCGGTTTTCCTGCCGAAAACTTCGGGAATGCCGAGGTTTTGGGGAGGAGAGAGGCGTTCTTTTCGTTTGCCGGAGCCCCGAAGTCGGGGCAGCGCCGGGGCTGCGGAGACTTTGGGAGCAACTCGACACCTTGGAAAGAATTCCAGTATTGCGGGGATTTGGGGCAGTTTTCCCTCTGTCCCGTCCGGTTTTTGGTTGTGTTTTTCTTTTTTTGGGGGGGAGTTTGGATGAATTTTAGGCGTGGAACCGGGAGAAAACCAGCTCGGGGCCACGCAGCCGGGGTTAGGCTGAGCTTGGCGGCGGCGGAGGAAGAGGGTGAGGGATGAAGATGTGGCCGGACTGGGAGGGGTCCAGGCAGGGCTTTAATTTCAAAGCAAAACCCAGCCCTGGTGAACGGAGGGGGGCATTAGGGGTGGCGATGCCCTCGAGGGGGGACAGGGAGGGGGTTTAGGGACCGCATTTTGGGTCCAGCCGGGTCAGAAGCTTCGGTGGCTGCTTTAACACCCCCCCCCCCCTTATCCCCCGGGATGTTTTAGGGGAGCGGGGGGGGGAGTTTCCAGCGGTTTGCACGGCGAGTCCTTTTACAGCTGCAAACAAAAGGGGCCGTGAGCCCTGGCGTCATGCCCCGCTGCGAGGAGGATTCCTGCCCCGCTCCTGTTTTGGGGGGAAAACATTGGCTATTTGTTCAGCTCGGCCCGGCGAGCGAGCGGGCAGCGAGCGGGAGAACCGCGGGGAGCACCGGAGCTGCCCCCCCTAAACATCCCCCCCCATGGTACCAGCTGAGCAGCTCCGAGCCTGTCTCTTAATTAAAGATGGGATGTTAATGAAGGAGGCGCTCAGGGAGATACCTGGGGCTGGGCGGAGGACGTGGAGGGGGCTGCTCCCGGACCCGGCCGGGGGGGGAGAAGATGCTCCGAGCCCGGGTTCGAGCGGGACAGGACGAGCCGGCTTCCAAACTACGGCCGGGAATGGGGTGGAAGGGGGTCCCACGTCGCCTAGGGGGGAGCGGGCTGTGAGGTGGTGGGTGCAGGGCTCGGGGGAAAAGCTTGGGGGGGGAAGGTATTTTATTGTCTTAAATTTTAGTATTTTATTTATTTACGATATTTTTTAATTTGTTCATTCTAGGTATGAATTTAATATTTATAGATTTATTATTATTATCCATGCTATTATATATATTATAACCCACCCCTCCCCCGGGCCGGTCTCACCCCGTTGGGACGCGCGCTAATGTTCAACTTTTTTAGGCATAAAAAAAAAAATCAATTTATATAAAGAAATAAATAGAACAAAATAGAAAAATGAACACACACACCACTTCCCTAAACTTTCCCCTCGCTTCTTTCACCCCAATGTATTTCCAAACCGGGGAAGCACCCCCCCTTACCCCCCCAGCTTCCCACCCAAGGGAAGCCGAGCCTCGTTATACATAACAATATCTTTAAAAGTGATGCTAATAAATAAAGCGATCCAACCGAAGGCGAGCCCGTTGCTTTCCCTGCGCGCTGGGAAGCTCCTGCCTCTTATTGGTACCCCCTTCCCCGGCCGTGGATAAAGGAAAGGAGCCGGAGCCTATCGCCGCCCGCCCCCCCCCCCCCCTTCACCGCCCCAACTTCGGCGCTTTAACAACTTCTAAACCTTCCATCTGACATTCTCCCCCCTCTCTTCCTCCTCCTCCTCCTCCTCCCCCTCCCTTCCCCCCCCCCCCCAATACCAGCATCCTTTAAGCGACAGCACCAACCACTTAAGGAAAAAAAGAAGCCAACAACAAAATAAGGGGGGACTCGCTCCCCCTTCCCCCCCCCCCCCCCCCAAGCCCAGCCCAGCTCCGAGGCAACTTGGGCCGCGCCTGCCTCTCCCGGCAGTCGGGTTTACATTCCTGCGGAGCGCCCGCTCAGGCCGGGCGTGACATAGCCCTAAAACTTCACGAAGACTCGCTGGTGGGTGCCCCCCCCCTTCCCCACCCCCCACCCCCCCTCGTTATTCCATATATTTTTCATTTTGGACCCCCTTTTGGAGCAAAGATTTCTCCCTTGTTTTGCAGCCGCGGGCTGGAAGAGAAGCGCTTCGGCTCCGAGGAGACGCATCCCAGCATCCCACCCCCTCCACCCCGCCCCGGCTCCCTCTCGGCTCTCCCGGGGCTCAGGGGTACCCCCTCCCTTTCCCCTCTCCCCTCCCCGGTTTGAACCGGACCCTCTCCGCCGCCCCGATCCCTCCCCAACACCATGGCAGCTCTGCCCGGGACGGTGCCTCGGATGATGCGCCCGGCTCCAGGGCAAAACTACCCTCGGACCGGCTTCCCGCTGGAAGGTAGGTCCGGGAAAGCGCCTCAATGAACTGCTCCTTCCCCAGCACCTCGGGGGGACCAGGGGGAAAGGGGGGGGGTGTCCCGGCCTCAGCATCCAACTTCTCCCCAATATTCAGCTCCTTCCCGCTGTAAACGCTCCATCCCTGCGAAATTACCGGGATTTGCTTTATTTCCCCCCCTATTTATATAGTAGTTTCAGGCATCCCGCAGGTTTAGGGGGCAGGTTCCCACGGGTTAGTTTTTCCTTTTCTTTTTTTCTTTTTTTCCCCTTCTTTTTCCCTTTCTTTTCCCCCTTCTTTTTTCTTTTCTTCCTTTTTTTCCCCTCTCTTTCCTCCTTTTTCCTTTTCAACCCGCAAATGTCCCAACGCTTCCACCATCCCGCAAAGGTGGGGAAAAGCAACCGAACTGGTCGTGTTCCACTTTTCCAAGGGGAAAATAAGGGCGGAAAAAAACCAAACACCCTTAAAGTACACTGTAGCCAGGGTCTCCTTGGCCGGGGCTGACGAGGGGACAGGGGGGAACTTCGTAGCTGTCACCTCGCCAAGTGTCATCCCAATCTCGCAGCGCATCCACTTCCCCATCATCTGCTTTCCTTTATTATATTTTCCCTGCGTTATGGGTTATTATTTCCAGGCATACACCAGGAATTACATATATGTAAAAAAAAGGGCAAAATCCAAGCGGGACCCTTCTCCCCGCATTTATTAAACAGGGAAATTTCCTCCTGACCGTGATCAAGTGGCGAAACTCAAACCTGGGCAAAACCACGCAGGCTGCAAAACACACAAGCTGGGGGGATTTGGTGAAGTGCTTTTCTGTAGCAAATGAAGTAAAACAGACGGCAAGGGAAAGGATCAAAGGATTACAACAATATTTGCACAACATGACTGGGAATAATGAAAAGAGAGAGCGGCCGGCGGTTTTAGTACCTCTTGAATGTAAAATTGGCCACTCGAGTGTTATCTGTCGATAATGATATATCCAGGGAGTGCTGGCCGAGTGACTTGGAATTAGTGGTGCATGATTCTTGTTAAATCGCGAGGCAATTTCTGGAATCGACTTTTCTTTGTATAAAGAACAGTCCCTCGCCCCCTCCAGCCTGCCCGCAAATTACCCAGCTGAGTTCGCTCCCCCTTTTTTCCCTATGTTTTCCTTCTTTTTTTTTCCCCTTCCCGTATTTTCCAGCCTGTGAAATCATCTTAATCTGCAAGATCTCCATTGCGAGATATTAAATACATTGGGGAAAGGGATTAAGGAGCCGCCGCTCCGGATGGGAATGCGCTGGACAAGGTGTCGGGAGCCGCGCTTGTACCGCGCTTGTTCCGCCTTAACCAAACCCCTCCAAAACCACATGAAAAATCAAAAGGGACAAAAGCCCCTCGAGGGTGTTTCCTGAGGTTATTTCCCGAAAGTTTGCTTGGAAGCAGCTGTAATTCGGAACAAAAAGTGGGGTGGGTTTTAGGGGGGAATGGGAAGTTTCTTTAGGGGGTTGCTATGCGGTTTTCAACCGTTCCTTACTCCAAACGTTAAAGCCTTTAAATCAGAGGTGTGGAATGACAGGAATTATATAGAGAGGAAGACACGGGCTCAGCGGCGTGGTGGGCTACGGGCTGGTTCAATTTCCCCTCTACCAACGGGAAAAGTCTTTCCCCATGATAAACGCGGAGGCTAGGGGATGGGTGAGAGGTTCCTCCCTTCTTTGCAAGCTTCAGCACCCCCGAGAGAAGCCGAAGGTGCGGGGAGGGATGTGCCCCGTTTTGCCGGATTTTCCCCTCTTTTAACTTTTCCCCTCCCAACTGTTGGGATGGTTTTTCCCCTCTTTTGCTCTCCAGTCTCCACCCCGCTGGGCCAAGGCCGGGTGAACCAGCTCGGAGGGGTGTTCATCAACGGCCGACCGCTGCCCAACCACATCCGTCATAAAATCGTGGAGATGGCCCACCACGGCATCCGGCCCTGCGTGATCTCCCGGCAGCTGCGGGTCTCCCACGGCTGCGTCTCCAAAATCCTCTGTAGGTACCAGGAGACGGGCTCCATCCGTCCCGGAGCCATCGGAGGCAGCAAGCCCAGGGTGAGTGTAATGCTGGGGCCGAGCTGAACCGCTCGCCTTAGGTTACAGTGAAGGTTTCTTCAGGGGGATAGAAGTTTCTCAGGTGGATACGCAGGGAAAAGAGGGAGGAGAGGGAAGGGCTTTAATAAAGCTGCGATTTGCAGGCTCCGATGGGTAGAAACTGGCGCCGAGTTGAAGGCTATGAATAACTTAAAGTGATTCGCTATCCCCCTCCATGTGCAACAAGTGGTGTGAATTCAAGCATTTGCTTCGGCCCCGGGGTTGTGGGCAGGAGGAGAGCTGATGCTTTAGAGAATAATAAATCGCTGGGTGTACATAAAGCATCCCCTGCACTCCCTCCCTGCCTCCTTCTCCCATAAGGCTCAGGATAAACCCATCCTGGCTGGTCTCTGCGCTCCCCAGGGACTCTACTTAAAGGGTGGCCAACATTTGGCCTTTTCCCTGCTTTCTTTTCCTCCTTTCCCTTTCAGATCCCTATTTTCAGGCCCCCCAGACTAGCAGCCAGGGTAAGGAGGATTGAACCGAGCTGAGCAGCTTCTCTTTTCAATTAAAAGCGCTTCTTCTCTCCCCTTTCCCTCTCTCTGCACACGCGGGCACGCACCGGCGTCCCTTGATCACAAAAGCAGGTTGCAACTCCTGACGTGGAGAAGAAAATCGAGGAATACAAACGGGAAAACCCCGGGATGTTTAGCTGGGAGATCCGAGACAGGCTCCTGAAGGACGGGCACTGCGACCGGAGCACTGTGCCCTCAGGTGAGAAGGCAGCTTGGCAAGAAGGACACCCCGATTCCCATAGGAAGACGGAGGGAATTGAGGATTGCCACCATAAAATGTTTCCAGGGGCTATAAACATCTTCTCGGCCTTTGCTTTGATAGAGGAGAGGGGAAAATAAATCACCCCAAGCAAAGCCACAGCAGCAAAATAAACATCAGGGGGGTTGTGCCCCGGCCACCCTGCGGTCTGCTGGGAAAACAAACACAAACACAACGGTTTTCCCAACTTATCCCAACTCCCATGAAAGCAGGGAGGGATGTCCCGGTGCAGAGGGAGCCTGCCTGGGTGCAGCCCCCAAATCCAGGGTTACAGGGACCCGGTAGTTCTGTTGGGATCTGCTTGCTCAGTGGGGGTTGCAGAGAAGCATCTCCATCAGCAAGGGATCCCCATCGCCCAGGGAAAGCGACCTTGTATCCCGGTATCGGGCCTGCAGGGATGTGCTTGGGGTCTGATGAGCTCTTTAGGTCCTGTCTGTGAGCTCCCCTCTATTTTTTGGGGGGGGGGTGAGCCTTCTCTGTAGGGCACATCTCCCCCAAAGCAGGACAGGGCCCAGGTCTGAACTCAGCTTTCGGGGTCCTATTTGGAGCTGGGGTGGAAGCTGGGTATTGGGGACCTTTTCCCTGTCACAAGGTAGGCTGTAGTCCAGGGGGTGTATATGCCTCAGGGTATTGCACTGGCTGTGATGCTCTTGGGGGGTGTTGTGCACAAGCGGGTACTGCTCACGCTGGGAGTCTCAGGGGGATAGTGATGAGCGCATCCAACTTCGGGTGTCCACTTTAGCAGCTCGGTGACCTCAGGAGTGTTTTGGAGGGCGCAGAGGACCAGGCATGGTTGTGTACCCCTGGGAAAAGGGGGTGTGGATGCCCTTTGCATGTGCGCAAGGCCTCCTGCCCAAGTCCTGCAGCCCCAGCTTGGGTTTTCCCAGCCGGCTGCCACCCCGCTTTCCCAGGCAGCTTATACTTGCCTTTTTGTCTTTGACTGTCTGAGGTTTAGTGAGTTCGATTAGCCGTGTGCTACGCATCAAATTCGGGAAGAAAGAGGAAGAGGAGGACTGCGACAAGAAGGAGGAAGACGGGGAGAAGAAGGCCAAGCACAGCATAGACGGCATCCTGGGCGACAAAGGTAAAGGCGGCCGCGAGTGTCCCAGGGCTTGGCTTGGAGGGGACATTGAGGAGAGGGGACATGTTCCCCCCTATCAAGAGTAAGATGGGATGATGGCTTCAGAGCCTCTTCTATTTGTCCTGTCTGCAAGCGGAGTCGAGGGTGCGACGCAGGGCCCTGGAGGGGATGGTGGTACCCAGCCCCTCGGGCTGCGGATGCTTCCCCAGGAGGAAGAGTTGCTGGTGGTTTGCTCTGGATTAATTATATATAAGAAGGGAAAGGAGATGGCTGGGGGGTGGGAGGCATCTCTGATTCCTAAATGAATTTGTTAAACAGATTTCTCTCCTGCTTTCTAAGTGGTCCCCTGAAACTCCAACTGACAGTTGACCGATTTGGCCAATCAATATCAATTAGAGGAGCCGGGATCGGCGCTGCCGCAGAGCCGCCGGCGCTGGGAAGCATGGAGGGGAGATGGGGAGTCCTTGGATGGGGGGAATAGGGGGTCTGAACCCCCAAATCCCATCAGGGGCAATAAATGTGGCGTTCCTGATGAAAGACATGAGGCCAGGTTGGTGTGAGGGGAAATCTCGCTCTTGTCACCTCCCATGTTTGGCACTTACCTTGTGGGAGGAAAAATGAAACTCCTTAAAGGCTGTAAATGTGAGGGATGAGGCGCGGCAACGTGGCACTTGTCATCTGCTTTTTGGCGAGCTCGGTGGGGGTGATGACTCCCTTTCGCCCCCCCCCAAGAAGAGGGAAAGGCGTTGGTTTTAGGGGGCATTTTTGAGGTTTATCGATGAGGGAAGTTTGGAGCAGCGAGAGGGAGGAGCTGGAGTATCGGTTTAAGCAGAAAATTATTCCCTTGTGTAGCAGAGCTCAGCGCTTTTGGGGGGGGAAACAGCAATTATCCAAGTCTTGGGGATGGGCTTCAGGAAACTGGGGTTGGCTGCTTTCTTCCCAAATTGATGGTAAAATAGCGATGGCGGTCGGAGTTCCGGGATGAGAGGTATTTTCCACATCCCCAATCCGGGTGTGGGAAGCAGCGGGGGAATCGCTTCCAAAGTTTCTCCCTAGCCGCAAAGTTTTCCCTATTTTGGGACAAGGCGGGTGAGTGGGGAAATATCGGGAGGGCACAAAAAGAAAAGCTTCTCCGTGTCGCCATCAAACGTTCCTGAGAGTTTTAAATGAAGGTGCACAAAAGGGGTTTATTTAAGGATCCGATCCCCCTTTTTTTTCCAACCTTGAAGATGAACTTCACTTACAAAGACCTTCAAGTCTATTGAAGCTTTATAAGTAAAAGATTCCTGACCACAAAAGCAAACAGTAGAAGAAGAGAAAAAGGGGGAAAAAAGGGGAGGGGGAAAAGGGGGGAAAACCCTGGGCTGCCTTAAAACGGGAGTAAAGGGATGGGGGAGGGAGGGCTTGTCTATTCTCATTCAAAATTCGGCAAGGAGGAGAAAAAGTTTGGACAAAGGGCCGAGGAAGGGAAGAAAGGGAGATAAATTATTCAAAACTCCCTGCTGTTAGATAGTTTTGTAATATTATAGGACCGTCTGTTGGAAAAAGGGGAGCCGTTGGACGTTGCAAAATGTTGCTTGTGATTTGGAAACAGGCGATGCTCATTTGCAAATCGGGGCTATTGTGTCCGCTAAAAGCTCCCCCCCCCATCACTTCGGGGTCACTTTATATATGGGGGGGGGGGGAGGAGGGATTTTGGGGTTCGAGATTAATTTTATTCGAGCCTCATCACTTGAAAAAAATGCAGTTTTTAAGATCATTGATTTACTTTTCTTGTCCGTGCGCGTTTTCCCCGTCACCACCCCCAAAACTCAAACGCGTAGGGATGGAGCTGGAGGCTTTTGATTCCTTAAGACCAGGCAGAAGCGCGTGACAATAAGCAAACCGAAACGCTCTCCCTTCATGGGTAATATCGCGGACAAATAAATCACGGTCCCTCAGTTCTGTGTGAAACCAGCTCGGTTTGAATCCAGGGCAAATTCCTGACGCCGGAGGCCGCGGAGCGCCGCGGTACCCCCGCAGCCGCGCTCCCCTCGCGGCCCTCCCGATAAACCCCGCTTTATCCCTAATATTTCCAATCCTTTTTTTTCCTCCTTTTCCATCGCGTCCTGACTCTTCTGATGGGAAATTTACCCCCAAGAAGCTCCGGTTTGGGGGCAAGGGGGTTGGGAGCATCAACCGCGGCAGCGGGATGGAGCCGGCGGCTGCCGAGCGCTGCCGCGATCGCAGCAAGATCCAACGCGATTAAAAACTAACCCTTAGAAACTGATAATCATGAAAACGAAACTCGAATTTACCGCCGTCGATGCGTGTTTTCACGTCCGGAAAAGTTGCAATGGCCCCGATTAGGCGAACGGGTGATTTAACTTGTCAGATACTCAGGGGCGGTGAATGTAGGCTCGGGTTTGACTTTTAGTTTTGGCTCGAAACTGATCATATTCTTTAGAGATGCGGGTCCCTCCCCATCCATTTTCCTTGGGAAAATAAAAACACAACCGCGCTCCTGCCACTTGTTCTCCAGCTCCGCTTTTCCTGCTCGGCTTTGGGTTGGGTTTGGGGGGTGGGTGTGTGTGTGTTTAAACGCATTTGTATTATTCTCGCGGATGGGGGGAGAGGGGAGAAACTTTGTTTTGGCCTTTTTCCTCTTGACAAACGCCTTTGCTCCATTTGCGGGTTCTCCTTGCGGGGAGCCGGAGGAAGACAGCCCTAAATGCTCTCTCTTTTTAAGTGTTAAAGAAAGCTTCCACCCTGCGCCTGTTTCTTTCTATCGTCTGCTTGGCATTTAATAATGTTAAGACTTATTAGAGCTGGTAATGAAAACTGTGGCTGTTGAATAGGGAGCTGTGTTGGAGAAGGGTGTAATAGCTCCAAGGCATGCTAAGAAATGTATTTATCCCCAATCAGTACTCACTCTCTGAGTTCCCAGCACAAACGTTAAGTTGAAGGGTTTTAAGGCAGATTAAATTGAGCCTTTATTTCTTTGCACTTTCATCTTTAAACGGCTCACTCCAGCTCGCCCTGGGCATATATTCATGAGGCTTCACTTTATTTTTTTTCCCCTTATTTTATTATTTATTTATTCCCCCCCCCCCCCCATATCCTTGTTAAAACCGAGTTATTATTATTTGGGGCTGTTGTTATTTATTATGACTGGGGGGGGTTATTAGGGAGGGACACGAGTGGGTGATGCGCTGCTCTTCCGTGCTGTTCGATGGGGATGGAGGAGGAAAAGGGGGGAATCTGAGCACCCCCAAATCTCAGGGGGTGCTGGGGAAGGTGCTCAGCCTTCAGTGCGGGAGGAGCAAGGAGGGGGCTCATTCTGGCGGCGTATTAATTGCAACCAGACGCGGACGAAAGGGGGGAGCTGGGGTTATGCGGGAGGAAAGGGAAGTTCAGAAGTGTGCCGTGTGTGTCCCCCCACCATGCGTCACCCCACGGTCACGAGTGGGGCAGCCGGTCCTGGTGCCCCTGTACCGCCGCGGGATGTGGGGCACGATGCCCGCGGAGGATGCTGAGGGTTCTGGCGGTGCTCGCAGGGAGGAGGGGGCGCTGGGGGGGGGCGTTGGGTGATACCTGGGCTGAATTCAGGGAGTTTTCATTCATTTCCTTTTCTTCTTCATTTCGCCAAACTCCGCTTCCCGACGCGGAGCGGTTTCCACCGATCGTTGCTTCGTTCCCCACCCGCGGGATGGGGAAACCCGAGTGGGAAAACCGGGAGGGGGGATTTTTATTGCGGATGGGAACGGCGTCCAAGTGTGAACAACAACTTGAAGGGGGCGATATGTGGACGTTTGGAGGTGATAATTTAATTTCGTAGCGGTCATTGATACTTATTGGGGGGGGGGGGGTGGATACAGAAGGAGGCTGGACTGGCTATACAAGGTCCTACAAATTGAATTAGGGGGAAAGGGAGAAGGAGAAAGTGGGGAACCCGCCTCCGGAAAGGCGTTTTGCTTCCCAAGCTGGGATGGGGGGAGATGCGGAGTCAATTTATCAGCAAACAATCTGCATTGATTTAAAACCAACAAGCGCTGTCTCTGTAAATGTATGTTTAGAAGGGAGCTGGGGGGGGGGGGAAGGAAGAGACACTTCATCAAATCAAGGGATTACGAAAGGTTGGCAATCTAATCAAACAGAGCCCAGGCGGGATTTGTGAGTGTTGCGAGTGGGATCAGCTCTAATAATGGGGGGCAGGAAAGAGATAGGGTAGTGTCAAGCAATTCATTGGCTTTAGGCTGAGTTATTCTGTGCATATTTCAGTGAGAAGAGGGAAAAGGAGGAAAAAAAAAAGGGAAAAAAAGAGGCAGGGAGAGGGAGAAGGAAGGGGGGTGGATGTGAGCACACACGGAGCTTACATGGCACAAAAAAAGCTGAGACAAATGAGGTACAACAATAAACACAGATAACAATTACAAAGGCAAACAGTGGCTTTTGGGAACAAGTAGCTGCAGAACCTGGTCTACATAAACAAAGTAGGCAAATGTTTGCAAGATAAACTCCTTCCTAAATCAAGTGTGACGGGAAGGAGAGAAGAGAGGAGGAGAGATAAGGTTGGAAGGGGGAATAAACGAGTATAATCTAATACAAGACGTTTTAAAAAACAAACTTAAGACAAGGATGCGGGGAGAGAGGTTCAATTATACAGTAGGGAGTGAAATAATATAAGGGAGATGTTTGTGATCCAGGGTTTGTTTGAGGTTTTTTTCTTTCCCTACATCATTCCCCCCCCCCCCCCCCCCCCCGCTTTGCTTTGGGGGAGAAGAATCAGCTCAATCATAGACCGAGGAATAGGAAAGGGGAATGCTGGTAGCGGAAGCGCTGGCTGGCAAGTGGGGTGCCCGGGGTTCAGCTCGGATGGGAAAGGAAATACGTTCGGGACGTTATAATCTCCAATTCGAAGGTGGACGGCAGATTACATTGCCCTGGGAGGGGTAGGAAGCAGACATTTGGCGATGCTGGAGAGATGAATGCCGTGATAGGGGCGCAGAGGAAGGAAGCCGTAA